GGGCACCAGGCGGTACAACCAGAGGTGGTACCGATAATACCGCTGAGAGGATCTCAAGAGGGACAACCGAGCAACCACCACCAAGTACTGCTCCAGTACCCGAGCGGAGTCACCCATGAGTGATACTAGGGTCGGTACTTGGTCCGGTACAACCGTTGGACCAATGCTCTTTTCGTGGCCAAGTTCGGAGCAATAGAACCGACCACCAGTGGTACCGATGTGCGTATGCCATCTGGGACAACCGGTCCACCACCGCCTACCCACCAGAACGGAGTCACCCGACTCCGGTAATTGGGGTACTTGGCCCGATAGAACCGCCGCGTAGCCCTCCTAGAGTGGCAAGATAAAAATGCCAATGATATAGAGAGGTGAAACCTCCATGAGTGAAGAAGCGGCAAAAACTTTAACAACTAAAACACAATATATGATGCATACGAAATCTGTTTTCGATGAACTTGAGCTTGTCATGAAGACCACAAGCTCCAAAACTCACAAAGAGAAAAGGCAAACAAGAATCAAGAAAGATGATGCCAATGATGCAAAAATTTGAGCTCTCTACGAACGATGCGATCAAGCTACTCACACCAGAGCCCCCTTGATAGTACGGTTATCAATTATATAACCTGGTCTCCCAAGTAACACCATGAGACTGGTAAAATAGAGAACCTATCAAGGGCAAACATTTGCCTTGCGCATAATCCACTTGAGCTAGATGATGACGATCTTGACCTCCTCAAGTTGGACCACCTTTCTTGATTGCGCATGCTCGATGAAGAGTACTAGATTGCTCCCGCATACTACGCTATGGCTGAGCCTCTCTTACGCACATCTTCACATGTCCATTATCACGAGAATGGACAACAAGCTTCAAGCATGATCTCTTCGTGATGCTCCACTTGAATTTGCACACCACAAACTTGATGATGATCACCACTTGATATCCTCCATGGATCATATGAGATCTTCCTTTTGAAGCACGCCCATGAAAACATACCTAGCTAGCCCCACAAAGAAACCCCACATAGACCATGGGTTAGTACACAAAGCGTAATGGACAATGCTTATCATACCATGGGATCACTTGATCTAACAGGGTACATCTTCTATGTTTTGTGTGTTGATCAACTTGAATCACTCTTTGACTTAGTCTTGATCAACCTTGTATCTTATCTTTAAAACTCTTCATAAAGATGATGTCTTGAAGGTAAACATGAATGTTCACCCAATCTTCTTCTCCAATACATGCTTGCAATAGTCTCAACTCTCACATGACCAATCTTTGGATAGTTCCTTGAATAGCACCTTGGTCAACACATAATCTTCTTCAAATAACCTTGAAACCAACAAATGGTCTTCAAGCAATGCCTAGTCCATAGGGATTGTCATCAGTTACCAAAACCAAACATGGAGGCACCAAGATCTTCCACCAACGCTATGCCTAGGTAGTTGAAAAAAGGAAGAAAGCAACATTGATCCTCGTCAAGCAGGTGCAGCCACCAACAATGATGTAAGCACATATGGTCTGGACATGGTATCCACACGAGCTGTAGACCATCCACAAACCAAGAAAATAGCCAATCTCAGATCCACTGATCACGGGCGCGAGAGAAGATGCCACCACCGAAATCTCACCTTGGAGACAACCCAACACTCCCACGTTTCCATCGCAAGTTTTTGTCAATGGTAAATCTAAATACCCGTATATTACACCATGAGTTTTCACTATCCCAATAAGGCAGCTACTATTACCAAAAAATTTCCATGCACCATCTTCGTTGCGCGACATCTCAACGAAGGATATCCGCCACGCTCCGCCTTAGCCACCAAAAATAGGGCAACATCGAGACATAGAAGCATCCATCACAACGCAAACCTGCCATCATCCACTGCCCACCTAATGAATGCAACTCCAAGACGATTCTCCCAAGAGAGAGAAATGACATCAATGATGTCATAGTCCGGTCCGAGAACACTCAGACCCAGATTTTTTCCTGGAGCACCAGGCAAGTAGGACACAACGGCATCGACGATATCTTCAACAAGGTAACGCTAACCAAAGGCGTCACCATCATGATCCCTTCATCAAATAAGATCTTTGGTGTCCACACTCTTCGTGACAAAGCAACACCGCTAGATTGTCTTTGGTAATCATAGAGGTTGTAGGCACCCGAATGCCATCTTCAATGGAGCTACTATATGGCTTCTGATACCATCCTTCGTTATCCCTTCATGATGTCTTACTCAGAACTCGATGTGACGTCTTCCATCCTTGTAGCCTCTTTGGTTCATGTAGATTTTTTTCTCAATTCCACATGTTGCAAACAAATCATATTGCAGTTGCATAGTTTGAGGTCCCTTATGTTCTATATTCTCATACAATCTTTGACACGGTGGCCCGACATCACTAATTTTAAAGGGATTTTGCCTAAGATGATGTCGTCGAGTAATGTTTCATCAAATGATATGGTGTCATTGATGACTCATAATCCTTGGTAAGGTGCAAACAGATTTTAGGTTGTTGACAACATGACAGGTGGAAGCTTGTCAAAGTGTAAACTCATCCTCGGATTATCTTTCAAAAATCACATCCAACGAATTTGAAGCCACTGAGGGTCAACTTACTTTTTTATGATTGGAAGCATCACTGTTTCCAGAAGATAGCTATTTGTGAAGTACCCACACTTGCAAGGAATTATAATGATTATTCTCGTATTGCTATCTTTGACATGATTGTCATAGTCCGTAATGGCAAGGATACGGATGAAGAGTTTGAGAAAAACTAGTTTCTATATGTGAATCCGTACTACAACTGAATTCCCCACAATGATCTTTTGTTCGATGTCATCAAGGTTGGCATCGTTTAAGCATGGGATAATGAGCATTGTCAGAATTTTGATTTCACTTTTCACATGTATCTATTTTATGAACGCTCCATAAGCAATGCCATCATTGATGACACTGGACAAATTAGCCCAGTCCAATTGGAGATTCTCTAAGCACTTCAACTAAAATATTCTATGCATGGATTTTATTGGTTGATAAATCAACATACATAAGAACATATAGGTTTTAATACGATCAAAGTGTAATTTGCCTTGTTCGTAGAATGATGCTCTAATTCATGATAGGACTTTGGCTCACACTCATGGCAATTTGACATAAAAAATAACAAATAAATACTAGCTCAAATGAAATCCGAATGAATGTGCAAATGTGTAAGATCGTGCAATAACATAACAACATCACCATATTATGCAATACTCCCTCCCTTCCGGTTTAGATGGTTCAAATCCGAAATTTCTTCAATCAAGGTAGATTGTGAGTGGATGTCACCAGTTTTTTGGATACAAATCTGCCCAATGAAATATTTCTTACATATTCAATTTCCAAAGCAATAAGTGTAGCACTCTCCCTCTCATTGGACTTGCATGGTGCATGTAGAATAAGATGCATGCATGACCACTAATTTCCTCTCTTTTATCTCTATGAATTAAATGTGGTGCGAGACTCGAAGCATTTTAACTCAATTGGACTCAAAGTGAGCGTAATATAAAAAAAATTCAAGGATACGTCAAGTTGACGTATCGAGATCATAAATAGAAGATGCGAAGAAGGTAGAATTAGTCACAACTCATCCACGGCACAAGGTGCCAACACACCACATGCGGATTACTCGCTACTAGCCACCGTGTCTACCCTTCTCGGAAGTGATCCCGCTATCTGTAGTAGTTGTGCCGCCCTCAGTTTTGCCCGTCCGCCTCAATCTGTTTGAGCACGTCGTCCTGTGAGGGTGAAGCGCCGTTGAACAGTATGTCATTTCCATGCTTGCATAGCGTCCAAGCCACCAGAACGATCACGGTCCATATTTCCTGTCTGAACTGCCTTGGTGGGTTGAGTGCTGTCCACCAATCCACAAGGCTTGCATCCGGGTGAGGCATCCACTGTAGCTTTTCCCAATTGTCCATTATAACTACCCAGACTTGACTGGCAAGCACACACCCTAGAGTTAGGTGATTTATGGTTCCAGGTTCTTGATCACAGAAGGGACATGCAGCCGGGTGTGGAAGCAAGCTTCTTTGGAGTCTATCTGTTGTCCAACATCGGTTTCTTGGAGCAATCCAAGCGAAAAAATTCGCGGACGCCGGTGCCCTAGATTTCAATATCTGAGCCTAATATAATAAAATATGAAAATTTGGAGGTTGGCCGGGAAAGGAGGGAGTATCATAACAAGTTAACAACAGAACTTGGAAAGTTGCCCACATAACATGATGCTCGGGTTGGGACATGCTCACATAACATGATGCACTAACAGTTTAGGATTTGGCCACTAGTATAGTTAAAGATTATGAGGTGGACCTTTGGATCCAGGAAAATGGGGACCTAGTATATCAAATTGGGGTTAACTTAAAAGTCCTCGGGCATTCTAGGGTTCATATCGCTACGCCAACAAGAGACAGAGTGAGACAATCCCACTGGTAATCAAGAAGACCTGATAAATGCAAAACTAGCTGGGATAAATAAGTGCGTACTACGACTCAATCATCAGCGTGTTTGACCAGTCAAACCTACCAAAGATGGACGGTACAGTATTGTTAATCAAAGCGGACAGCTCTGTGAGCACTCGTACTGATGCTCGCTGGCCACCAAGTTGGACCACAAATTTTGTAAGGCCACCAGCACTAATGATGAACCATTAAACGTGCCAAAATCAGTCCCACGACTGCAGCACATGATTCAACACCAATTCAATCATCCAGCACACTTGGTAGTACGTGATCCGTAGCATGGCTCACTCGCCTCACACATGTCCATAATTCGCTCGTACTACACGGTGAATCCAAACAGATGAGGCCAGGATCAGAGGGTGTGAGAGCATGCAGCAGCCAGCAGGCTGAGGCAGCACAGCAGAGGCCATAATAACCAACTACACGTACTCTACGTACTATGAGATTCGTGCAGCGCAGAGAAAACTTGGGTCAACTTTGGCGAACGGCAAGCAGAGTAAGTACAAGACAAAAGTATATCCATGCGTGACGACACCGAGGGCAGCCACAAGATCACGGCGAGAGTCGGGTCTGGGCTCTGGAGCCGCGGGCGAGGCGACTGAGCTCATCATGACATGGGGCTGGACGGTGAAAAGGGCAGAGAGATCGGGGTAAATAATACTCTAGCACGTAAACAGAGCTTGTAGTCACTGACACGAGGGATGGGGCGGCCTGCGTCGTGTGATTCATCAGAGGTGGGGTGGATGGATGGGATAGGGCTCCCGTCCAGTCCAGTCGAGGCCGGTCCGGCATCGGGACCTCTGTTTGACCACCACCAGCGCCACCGTGCTGCTGAGATTATGCTAGAGGAGGAATAATAAAAGTTCGGGGCTTTGGAGTTTGGAGCGTTAAAAGCGCACGCATCTCGAGAAATGCTAGATTTTCATAAGATTATGCCCGCCAGTTGTTAACACTAACCCGTGTCAGTGAGAGATAATCAGACGGTAATTTTCCTACTCCGTGCCCGTGTCAGTGAGAGATGCTAGCACTAATCAGATAACTTTGTGTAATGGGAGAAAAGAGGACGGGCACTTTCCGTGTAGTAGATTAAAAGAAAACTCGTCTAAGGTTGTTGGTGGTAACAAGTACAGGTACAGGAAACGGCTCTCTGTTTGAGCCAGAATGGGTTTCTACGGTGCTTGTACAGTACTCCCTCTGTAAACTAATATAAGAGTGTGTGATCTAAACACTCTTATATTAGTTTACGGAGGGAGTAGTAATTGTAGGAGCAGCAGCCAGCTCTGTGCTTCCACTGCGTCGATGAGACCTTTCGTTGCAGCGGAAACACGGAGATTTTGAGGGTTCGGAAAGGGAGTTGTCACGGCCAAAGAAACTCAGCTGTGGACTGCTGTCCAGTAGGCGTAACTAAAAAAGGGCAAGACATCACAGATCTCCGCTTACACTAGCCAAAGTCCCCACCGTGTAGCGTAGTATTACTGTGTTCTCTTCTCCTCCCCACCCCCTTCTTCCTCTCTCACTCTCCCTCCCCACTCTCAGCAGCCGCCGCCCAAGCAGAGAGGGCGGGGCACACACAGAAGCGCGCGTCCGGCCAGCAGACCAGCACGGAGCGAGCAATGGAGTATGAGAGGATTCACAAGCCCCAGGTACGGGCTCCGCTCCATCCAGGCCGGCGCAGCGCCTCGCTTGATCCCCACCCGCCTAATCAGCGCCTGCTCCGTTATGCTTCATTTTACTACTCCGGTTTTTTCCCGGAAACATTTCGTTTTCTGGATATAGATGTGCTCTCTCTGCTCCTCGTTTCCAAGTCTAGCATGTTTTGTTGCGGTTCTATACTACTTTCCCTTTTCTTATCACAAGATCAAAGCCAGTCTCCTTTTTTTTGTTCTAGAGGATTAAAGCTAGTCTCGCTGTCAGGCGTCGGAGCAGAGCAATTTGGGAATAATTTGTGCCTTTTTTTTAAGAAACTAGGAGTTGGTTAGCAGTTTGCTTATAAACTGTAGTAGGTTCGTTCACTTATCACTTATTCGCTAAATCAGTTCTATCAGTGAAAGAGGAGCTAACTATACTGGTTAAAGTAAGCCTACTGCTAAATGTGCAGAAAAACCGCCCCTCTGCACAGGCAGTGGAAATTTCCAAGGCCCATTTTGAAGAATTTGGCGTCGGCACTATTTTTGTACTACCTGCTAAAGTGATGCTGATTTCACTGCTCTCGTGTCCCAGTCAGGAAATAGAAGTGTCAAATGGTCATTCCGCTGACTGTCACTGTCCAAACGTCTAAAATCTTGCATGACACTAGTACTTCTAATTTCTTGGCAGTTTATAGAGTTCTAAGCTTCCTGCCTAGAAATATTTTGAGCAAGATATGATAGTATAGGTGGTTACCACCTTGAATCAAGACATTGTAAGTTATAACGCTTCCGTAGATGAAGACTTACCTCCTTGGTGTTCATGTAGGCAGGCGCCCTTTCTCCCACAAAGCTGAGGATGAAGCTTCTGGGAGCCCACAATCGCGTGAGGGTCATCAGCAGCAGCTCCTCACGAACATCGCCTTCAAAGAACGTCGAGCCGTCGCAAGCGCAGAACAGATTATTAGTATGCGATGTTCTTGACGAAGGTACATACATAACTCCAGCCTATTTGTGTTTAACTTGTTAATTTTTCCCTGATCAAGGACATCACATCTATAGCCATCTCGCTCTGCTTGCCGTTTCAGACAGCTCCGGTGCCACCAAATGCCCTGCAGCAGTCAGCAACACCGAAGTTGTAGACAAGGATCCAGCAGTAGATAGCTACAAGGTTCAGAACATGCCCAAGAGTTCAGTTCACCAACCCGCGCCGAGCAACTCAAGCATGATACATCCTGTGCGAACGGTCGAGGAGGACAGCAACGAATGCGACAGTGGTCTTGACAATGCCAGCACCAGCAGCTTTGAGTTCCATGGAGGCGAGAAGACCGCGGCGCAGAACCCAACGGCTGGGTACTTCTCTAGACAGGCTTCCTCCAAGTGGAACGACGCGGAGAAATGGATTGTGAACAAGCAGACTGTTCAGCAGAACACCGCCAAGGGCGCATCGCAGAACCAGAGTGCGCACCAGGTGAATTCCGCTGCGCCCAGGGGCGGTGGCATTGTGCCCAAACACCACGGCGCATTTGCTCGCCCCATTCAGAACATGAAGAGATTCAACCCGGCTTCGTCGGCCTCTAGGAGCATATTAGAGAGGCTGTCTTTCGCTTCGCATCAGCCAAAGTTGGTCAGGCACGCAGATGTCTGTGCAGATCAAGGTTCTAGCGCCAACTCAGAGTATCAGAAGGGTCAAGCTGAAACCAATTCGATTGCAATTAAGCCCTGCAATGATACTGAAGGTAGCTTTCTCATTGTTACTTTACAGTTCAGTTTTCTTGCTTCGATTTCTGTCAACTGATATGAACTATTGCACACAGCTATTTCTACAGTTCAGGCGGTGTCTGTGAGAGATGTGGGCACAGAAATGACTCCAATACCAAGTCAAGATCCATCAAGAACAGGAACACCACTTGGGTCTGTGACACCGACTCGCAGCCCGAATTGTTCGATACCATCAACTCCTGTAGGTGGACGATCGACGGCATCAATAGGAGAAGACAATGCAGATGATGGTCCTTATTTCAACAGAAAAGGTGGCATGAATGAATTGTCAGAGGATGAAATCAGGCTCAAGGCAAGGAAAGAAATTGCTGCCCTAGGTGTACAACTAGGAAAGATGAACATCGCTTCATGGGCTAGCAAAGAGGAGCTAGAATTAGTCTCTGCGACGCCGAGCATCGCTGATCTGGAGAGGATGAAGCAGGAATATGCTACTCGTGCTGCAGCATTCGAGGACGCCGAAAATTCTAAACATACAGCACGGTATATTCCATCAGACTATCTGCTACCCTTCGTTGTTTGTTCTACTAGTGAGCTATAAAAGGAGATGGAAACATAATGAAATCATGTAAATAGTGGTTTTCTTCATGTTGTCTGAAATAGTATTTTGTTGCTTAGATTCAAGAAGGAAGAGCTGAAGATCGAAGCATGGGAGAGCCGCCAAAGAACAAAAGTTGAATCCGAAATGAAGAAGCTAGAGGTGCATTTCCACTAAATTTTATTATCTGCAACCCTGCTTTCGTTAACACGAACACATACTCTGAATGCATCATACTCTTTAGTAGCTTGTAGCTAGTAATGACAAGCTGTTCTATGACAGGAACGCGCGGAGAAAATGAGAAGCGAGGCCATGGCGAGGATGGCCGAAAGGCTGGAGCTGGCACGCCGCGTGGCCGAGGAGAAACGGGCATCAGCCAACGCCAAGATGAACAAGCAAGCAGCTAGGGCAGTTCAGAAGGCCGATCTGATTCGCCAGACAGGAAGGATTCCTGGGTCACGTATCCTATGCTGTGGCTGTTTCTGTGAACCTTAGCACTTGTTTAACAACTAGCCTGTTAAAATATGATTGAGGAGTCTAATTTCCTCGTTCTATAGTCAGCATTCCTTGGTTTTTTAGTATGCAAAAGGGAATGTCTGATCTAGGTGATTCAGATGTACACACATTCTTCGTTGTCATATAAATAATTTGGTTAGTGTGAGATGTGCAAGTTCTTGTTTTCTGAAGAAAAAAGGTACTCCTACCTATAAGCTGTTCGTTCAGTGGCCTTGCAATGTGAGCAAAAACCATTTCCATGACTGATGGATTCACTTACCTTTCTTTCTTGTCGTGATGAACCAAGTTACAGGTCAAATTCATGTTCCTGGGATCTTACATAAAGTGACCCAGCTGCTGCTCTCGTCGGCTGTTCATCTGTCTTGGTCTCTTTAGACTGAGGCGTTCACGGGTCTCCGGAAGCAGTGCGCCAGTACAACGCATGACGCAGTGAACAGTAAAGCGAACAGCGAACCCCGCCGGTGAAATCATCAGAGAGATGGCTCATAGCTATGGAATAGAAGAGGCCAAGAACGGGCAGCAGCTGATGAGTACTACGAGGTTCGAGGAAAGTACTTCCATCAGTTGGTAAAAACCCTGCAAACTATGGACTCGCTGCGGCGTCAGCGAGGCTTCCAGAGTGTAGACAGTAGACGTACCTTCAGTCAGTCCGCCCCGTAGTCAGTGCTCGGTGGATCTACAGTTGACATTTCATATCGTTCTCCGCCGCTTCCATGCTGGACCAAAATCATTGTTTTGACCTTTTACTCAAAAATTTGGCAATTTGATCCCGCTTTAAAATTTTAACACAATCTGGCTTTCGGCGGCCATGTTGACGTGGCAAAGTACCTACCGCTAAAGTGACAGGCGGTAGGACGTGTATACCTTACCGCCAAAGCCATTCTTTTTTCCTCGAGAACGAACAGACATATATAACAAAAATGTGAGGGACATAGCTGCGTGAATGAAAAAAAAATAGGGAGTCAAAACGTACATGCCCGGACGCTGACCGGGTGCGCAGCGGGCATTTGAGGGGCCAAATTTGTTCAGTCCGGCTGGTGCGTCGCGGGCATTTGAGGGGCCAAATTTGTTCAGTCCGGCTGTAGATGCTCTTAGATGGTAATGATTGACCTTGTGTGTATTAATCATCTATATCCATTGACTTGGATTTGAAGTAGATTTTTTTGGTGTTGGACCTAACATAGTAATAATTTTTTGTATGAGTTACAAATTGTTTTGACATATGTGTATATTATTTTGTAATGACAAGTTCAGGTCATGTAAAAGTATAAGATTTTGTTCATGTATGTATATTTAATGATTGTCTCATGATTTGTATCAAATAGTTGATGACAATGTCAATTGTGTCATGTGGGATGGTCATTGATCCGGCCAATGGCCGTTGGTATCTTGAACTTGACAATACTTACAATAAGGACCATTCTGGGCGGTATATTGAGAATGGACAAGTAATAAGCAAAATGTTGTTCATGTCACTTTATAGTTTGCAATTTGAAGGTAGTGGTCACAATTTGTGCAATTTTGGCAGACGCTGCCAACCTTGTGCATGAGGGGCCACACAAAAGCCACCGGGATGCCATACAACGAACGATACGTGCCATACTTCAAGAAAGCAGGCTTACTACCCTTTGTCCTCCTGTTCAAGCGTGCCTCGTCGAAGATCAACCATGTTCCCTCATTGCCCTCCTAGACCATTGAAGGCCCACACAGTTTTCACCTCCGCTGTGGAGGAATGACGGTCACCCTGGAGGATTTCGCCATGATCACCGCCCTTCCAATCAACGATGAGCCTCTCACCCAAAATATGGACAACGAGGGTGGCGTGCGAGAGTTACAACTCTCATTGGTTCTTGCTTCCTCTATTGCCGCAAATGGAAAGAAGGGTGTCCTGTTCAAGTGGCTACTTGCTAACAAAAGGGGATGCCTGCGAGGGGTCGACAAGGGGACAGAACAGCAATACCCACGGGCATGTCTGTGGTATCCCTTATCGCATGTTGTCTTTTCAGACTGCTTAGGGGGCATCGCCTCATGGATATGCTGAAATGCTAAGTACAACTTGGGTCTGATGGTCTTGACTTTCGCACCCCTGGCTCGTCTAGACTTTTGGACCCCTAGTTGTACTTAGCGTCCCAAACTCTTAGAAAGTTGAGATACATCCACAAGGTAATTAATGTCCCTTGAGCAGCCTGTAAAGACGACATGCGATAAAAGATACCACATATATGCCCACACATATTGTTGTAGAGTCTCCTCGTCGACCCCTAGTGGACATCTCTTTGTGTTAGCCAGTAGCAATTTGACGAGGACATAGGATTTCCTATTATCCTTTCTGAAAGAACATGCGGTGCCCCCATGTTTGGTTTTGGTAATTGATGACAATCTCTATGGACTAATGGTTGCCTTGAGTTATATTTGAAGGTTTTGTCCATAGGCTTTTCTTGGAGTGCATGTGTTGGGTTCAAGGAGAGTTTGTGTCGACCAAGGTGCTATTCAAGGAATTACCCATGTTTGGTTTTGGTAATTGATGACAATCTCTATGGACTAATGGTTGCCTTGAGTTATATTTGAAGGTTTTGTCCATAGGCTTTTCTTGGAGTGCATGTGTTGGGTTCAAGGAGAGTTTGTGTCGACCAAGGTGCTATTCAAGGAATTACCTAAAGATTGGTCTTGTGAGAGGTTGATCAAGACTAAGTCAAAGAGTGAATCAAGTTGATCAACCCACAAAGTGTAGAAGATGTACCGAGAGGGATCAAGTGATCCCATGGTATGGTAAGCATTGCCAATTACGCTTTGTGTACTAACCCATGGTCTTCGTGAGGGTTCTTTGTGGGGTTAGGTTGCGGTGTGCGAGTTCAAGTGGAGCATCACGAAGAGATCAAATGCTTGAAGCTTGCCGTCCTTTGTGGTGACAATGGACTTGTGAAGATGTGCGGACGAGTGGCTCACCCATAGTGGAGTATGGGGAGCAATCAACTAGTCTTCATTGAGTCAACCCAATCAAGAAAGGTGGTCCAACTTGAGGGAGTCAAGATCGTCATCATCTAGCTCAAATGGACCATGTGCAAGGCAAAGGTTTGCCCTTGGTAGGTTTTCTATTTTACCGGTCTCATGATGGTAGTTGGGAGACCGGGTTATAGGATCGATTGTCGTACTATCAAGGGGGGCTCTCAATGAGTAGCTTGATCGTATCGTTCATAGAGAGCTCAAACCATTGCATCCTTGCATCATCTTTCTTGGTTCTTGTTTGGTTCTCTTTGTGAGTCTTAGAGCTTATGGTCATCTTGATGACAAGCTTGAGTTCATCGAAAACGGAGTTCGCATGCATCTTCTATGATGTTTTCGATGTTGGAGGTTTTGCCGGTTCTTCTCGGTTGGAGGTTTCTCTCCTCTATTTGTTGGCATACCTCCCCTGCTGTTTTGATGCTACTCGTCGTCTTGTTTCCAACAAGCTTGAGTTTGCTCAATTCGGAGCTCATATGCAGAAGTTATGGCAGTTCTGGTTTTCTTGAGTGTGGTTTTTGTCAGGGTCCCAGCGGTAGTACCGTGGTACCCAGCGGTAGTACCGCTGAGGAGTCACAAGCGGCAGTACCTCTCCATAGCGGTAGTACCGGCGGTGACTCCGCAGCAGTACTACCGTTGGCTTACCAGGTCCCTACCGCGTCGATTCGAGGGTCTTTTTCTGTGTCGGATTGTGCGGTACCTCGCCGAGCAGTAGTGCGGCAGTATCGCTCCTTAGCGGCAGTACCGCCCTTCCTCCGCGGTAGTACCGCCCGATTCCCTCTTTCCCTTTACCCTTCGTTCTGCGCGGCAGTACCGCCGAAGGGTGCGGTAGTACCGCCTAACCCAGCGGTAGTACCGCTGTCTCCTACGGTACTACCGTCCCAAGGTTCATGTTTTGTTGCTCCTTTTCCCTATTTCTTCCTCCTGAGCGGTAGTACCGCTCATGTGCGGGCTGAGCACATAACGGTTGGATTTCCCCCCTCCTATAAAAGGGGGTCTTCTTCCCATTGAACCTTATCCTTTGAGCTCGTGTTCTTCCCCCATTGTTGACCTTCTTCGAGCTTGCTAAACTCTCAATCCCTCCATGGATTCTTGCTAGTTTTTGAGGGAAAAGAGAGAGGAGATCTAGATCCACATTTCCACCAATCACTTTCTCCTCTATGTGAGGGGAACCCCTTGGATCTAGATCTTGCAGTTCTTGGTGTTCTCTTTCTTGTTCTTCCTCTCATTTTCCTCCCTAGCATTAGTTGCTTCGATGGGATTTGAGAGAGAAGGACTTGAGCACTCCGTGTGCCCTTGCCATTGCATTTGGTGCATTGGTTTGAGTTCTCCACGTGATACGTGGAAGTTACAAGTTGAGAAGCTTATTACTCTTGGGTGCTTGGTACCCTTGAGCTTGTTCCTCTTGGGTGCTTGGGCCCCCTAGACGGTTGTTGGTGTTCGGAGCTCAATCATTGTGGTGCAAAGCTCCGGGCAAGCATCGGGGTCTCCAATTAGGTTGTGGAGATCGCCCCGAGCAATTTGACGGGTACCGGTGACCGCCCCCAAGGGTTGCCAAAGTGTACGGGTTCGGTGACCGCCCCCAACGGTTGCCATTTGTACGGGTTCGGTGACCGCCCTCAAGGGTCCCTTAGTGGAATCACGGCATCTTGCATTGTGCGAGAGCGTGAGGAGATTACGGTGGCCCTAGTGGCTTCTTAGGGAGCATTGTGCCTCCACACCGCTCCAAACGGAGATTAGCATCCGCAAGGGTGTGAACTTCGGGACACATCATCGTCTCCTCGTGCCTCGATTATCTCTTACCCGAGCCCTTTACTTATGCACTTTACTTTGTGATAGCCATATTGTTTCTTGTCATATATCTTGCTATCACATAGTTGCTTATCTTTCTTAGCATAAGTTGTTGGTGCACATAGGTGAGCCTAGTTGTTTTAGGCTTTGTGCTCGGCAAATTAACCGCTAGGTTTATTCCGCATTTG